ACCATTCTAGAAAATTTCTTAGCATATAAGTACATTAAGCACCTTTGTCATTAAAAAACAAAAAACATGAAATGTCTTATATTAGGTAGAATATTTAAATATCAAGCATTTTATATAGAATTTCTGAAAAATCAATTAACGTTTCTAGTTATTATAAAACTTGATGCAACTCCTTTTTCTATTTTTATTCTTTTTACATGCAATTTACCTTGATGTCCCATATAACAACTATAAAAGGATAAAGGATAGTTATCATGTATAATAAATAATAAATAATTCATCTATAATAATAAAAAAAAACATAATCAATAGTTTATTACATGAATTTGCATAAAATGTTTTTGTAAAAAAAATATACATTTGTATACTATTATTTTTTTGGATAATGAAATATTTTATCATAGAATTATCATCAAATACTGTTAAATATTCAGAAAAAATTGCAACAATAGATTTAATAAATCCAACTAAAATAATTTAATTATAATGGATTATTCCATCTTTTAGAATTTAGAAGAAGCGTACCCTTTGATTTACTATAATGTTAACAATAGAAAAAAAAGGGAAACTGCTTTATGAAAAACAATATCCTTTTATTTTCACTTTTGGTTTAGAGAGTTGTTAATTTAGCATTTATTATATAAAGTAGCTAAATAATTCTTTAGGATGTATGGAAAGGGTGGTTAAATAACCTTCCAATGCAATAATAAAAATTAATTTAAGAATCTTGCAATAATATCTTCATATTATTAATTTTGGTCAAGTTTACTATATGGAGTTTGACTTAAACAAACTAATTGTTATGTAGGTATACTTAACTTGAGATTTTATTGTTAGTAGAGACTTTATAAAAGATAAGGCAACTACTTTGGAGGAGCAATAACATTAAAAATAATATTATTTTACCATATATTTTACATAGTTGGTTAACAACTTCCTCTATAAATATAAATAAAAAATTATCAAATAAAAACAAGAAAATTACACATCAATCCTTTTATTTGGACAAACCCCAAAGTCATTAACCAACCAATCTGGAACAAATTATTTTCTTTTTTCTTTGATTAACTATTTTTCCTTGCAAGACCTATAAAAGCTATGATTGGCATCAAAGCTTGATTGAAGCTTTTATTGGTCCTTATAATTTTTTATTTACCTCTTGGACTATAACTTGGTACATTTTTTTTTCCTCTCAAACTATTCTTGTGATCATCATTTCAATCTTTTTCAAGGTAGATAAGTATCAAGGTTAGTCTATATCACACATCAAAAACATACTAGTAAAGGAAGATATGCATAATTATATCAAAATCCTTTATTATTGAATTTTTTTAGCAAATGTTGATAGTACAAATTAATGGATGAATTTTACATCATCATGTCATGTGGGAAAGATAATATTTTTTTTTGTTGATATAAAGAAAGTAAAACCAGGTGATCATCATGTGTATGTGAAAAACATTACTTATTATGATATGTTATGTGTTGGAAATGCAAAATATCATGATACCTAAAGAGAGATCTATTTGGTTAATATGTTGTTTGTGCTTAACATGAGATGCAATTTAATTTTTTTCCCCTCGCTTGGATGATAAAGGTTATAAGTTGTGTTTTTATGGAGTAAAACTTTCTATTGGAAAACATAGTAGAATTTTTATGTGGAGGACTAATATTGGTGAATATTATTGACATAATATTTTTACTAATAATAAAAAGACATCAAATTGTTCTTTTGTTTTTGTTAATTTTGTTTATGATAATTGTTTATATGTTGATACTTTTTATACATGATATTTATGGTTAGGACATATTAATTAGGACAAAATTATAATAATGGTAAATATGAGTTTAATTCGTAAGATCAACATAAAATTTAATACTTATGATCCTATATCATAATAAAGGTAAAAAATTGAAAGTTACTAGATACTTTGATGCTAATTTCTCTTAGATATAAATGATGATAGATATACATTAAGTAACATATTCCTTTTAGGAGGAGGAATTGTTTCTTGGTGTAGCAAAATAAAAATATATATAGTCGAAAGTACCATGGTAGTTGAATATAATGGATATAGTAATGCAACTTCGGAAGTTGTCTAAATAAGATTTTTTGTAAATATAAAAGTTAGAGAAATTAATGATAATTCAATCAAAATTATATGTGATAATTAAGCTGTTATTTATAGCATAAAAAATGAAGAGATTGGAGTTAAAGGTAAACACATTGGTCATAAATATTATTATATATTTGATTTAGTATAAAAGAATGAGAATATTTAGTATAAAAGAATGAGGTTATTGTTAATTAAATATTATTAGTCTTGGTCAAATGGATTCTGTAGAGCTTGATGTGATCAAATTAATTATTAAATAATTGTACTTAACTTGATATTTTATATGTGGATGAGGATATTATCGGAGATAAGATAGCTAAATTAAAGTTAAAAATAACATTATTTTTTCATATATTTTATATAGTGGGGTAACATACTTCTCAATAAATATAACTAAAAAATATACAATTTTTTTTTAAAAAAGCCCTTTTTTCCCCGCTCACTAATCTAGAACACTTTTCTTTTCTTTTTTTATATACATTAACTTTGTTTTCTTTGCGTAAGCTATAAAAGCTATTAGCATGGAGGGCACAATACTGCCGACTTCAAATTATGCAGCTCGTAGTCGTCCTACAGTACTGAATGCCAGCTATCCTCTACATACATGCATGCCGGCAGGCTACAACTCTTTACAAATCCGCACGGGCTTCAATGAACAGGCAGGATTATTGAATTACTAAAAGAAAACTGCTAGCTAAATAGCCATTGATCCCTCCTAGCTAACAGTGGTCCAATGCTAATTAATAGGATTATTGATTTTTAAAATCAAGCCTGTCGAATTTCAGGCGGGGAGGTAAGGTTAAGAGAGATACGAAATATAAATTAATTAATTATATATAACATTTTTTGAAATATAACTAAATATAAGTAGAAAATTCATATTATATTAATAGTTATGAATAAAACAGAGAAATATTTCTTGCTTAATAGAAATGAAATTTAGTTAGTTTTAACTATTTATTTCTTTCTTAATTAATTAGAAATGAAATTTAGTTAGTTTTAACTATATTTTTTTAGATTTTTCAATACAAATTATAAATAGGTCAATAGAAGATATATTTAAATGTTGTTGTTGTTGTTTGTGACCCTACCCCCATATGCGGCATTATCTGTCACCTTTTACTTAATTAACCTAACTATTTATTATAATAAAGGGTTTGCAATCCAAATATATGATTTTTACATCTTCGCCAAATAAATGATTAAATAATTTTGATTATTTGATTATGCATAAATAATTAATTATTTGATGATGAAATTATATTATCATAATTTTATTTGTAAGTTATCATAATTATATTTATTTGTGTTGTTCCTAATATTAATAGATCTCATACCCATTAAAAATTATTCACCCAACATTTTATTTAATGTTTATAGCATTTTTTTCTTCAAATTGGTATCATTATTCAAATATTTTATATTGACTTGAGATTTAATTTTAAAAATTTATATCCAAAATTAAAACAAAAAGGTAATACAAATTTTAAAAATAATAAATAATACATTTATTTTCTTGATTCATAAGAAATTTAAGCTATTAGTCAAAGGGTTTAATAATTTTATTAAAAAAAGTAATTAATTAAAAAAATAAAGATTAAAATAATACATAATTCAATTGCTATATTATTATGAATTACTTTACATATCTTGAGGTTGGTTGACTTAGTTTAAGAGATGGTTTGCTTAAATAGTTTTCTTTTATATCTTGAAAACAAAATTCAATATGCATCTTAAATTAAATCAAAGATTATGTATAGGAGCTTTCAATTGATTGAAATAAAACTAGTTTATAATTTAAAGTTTTAGTTAAAATGTTTTCTCATATTTCCCCCCCTTTTTTTAACTTAGTATCAATGTTTAACCTTTTCACCTTTTTGTTTGTATACGTGACAAGAGATACCCAAATTATATGTTAATTTTATAACATATGGTATAATATTATTGGCTAGAGTTTAAATATATTGAATTCATAAAATAACCCATATGTTCCTAACCACAAAACACGCTTATAATTATATCTATTTACTATTATATATTGGTACATATAGGAATAAGATTTTTAATGAATCTTGGCTTTGTTGGTAAAAAAAGAAGTAAAAACATAATTTTAAAAAATAGCAAAAAATAATTATAAAACTATAAAAAATCAGTTTAGTAATTTGATAGATATTGATGTAATTCAATTATTTTTAAATTTTAGTACTTTATGTTTTTTATTGACATATTTAGACCTTTTTAGAGTTTTGATAATCTAACTAAAATAATAATGTGATACTATATAGTTTAGAAGTGATATCTTATATTACTTTAGGATTTATGTGATATATAAATGAAAAATAAAACATCATTAAAATATTTTAGAATTCATTCTAATTTTTTTAAATCAATAATTTTCTTCTAAATTGTTTTTAGAAATATTGACTTTTTCGTAATTACAAATGGTGTTGAATTTACTAGTTAATATTTATAATAAATTGTAATGTTAGTATTGTTTAAACTTTTAATAGCCAACCAAAAGTTAATTTTTTTTAATACATGTATTTATCAATATTATAAAGTCATGTCCGTGCTTTGGTCGGCTCGGTAATCGTTTGGGCCTCATTCATTATCGATATTTTCACAATCATGAGAAGGCATGATTACATGGTCACTTGAACTTGTAGGTAAATTGAAAGGAAAGACATGAAATTTTCACTTGAACTTATACAGAAGGGAGATTCCACGGTGCAGAACTTGAAAGAACTGGACTTCCATGTCAACACAGCACGTCGTACCTGCCAGTTATAAACCATCAAGAACATATGCATAGTAGTTTTCAGCCAACAGTTCGGCTGCTGGAGATGGAGCCATTAAAGCCCAAAGAAAAGGGCCACGAAGAACAGGAAGAAAGTTGAGATAATTTACTTTCTGAAACTGACAAGTCGAACATTTAATTTTAATCGTACATTGCCTAACACGACAACCTGCACTTATAATCATGAAATGTTACATGGTTCATTCATGATATAGACAACACAAACTAGGAAAAATACAAAGTGTTGAGATTTCTATAACTGATATAGGATAAAATCAATGTTGTGTTGCATCCTTGTTCGTTTCTCATCAAATCAGATGCCAGTATTTTATTATGAAATTCTGCCCATAACAGGAATAATCAACTTAGATGGCATTTCAAGCTTCTCATACTGATTCAGGTGGCCCCAGTACAGGGAGGAAGCACTTTATGCAGTCTAATCTTCGTAAACTGTCACCGCCACTGATAATCTTTGCAGTTTCGAACTTTTTCCAAGTGATTCCCAATAAAAACTTCCGTCTGTCTGCACTAGCATGACAAATATTAACGGCCTGTACTGTTCAGTAGAGCAAATTAGACCTGAGATTCTGAAGGTCAAAGACACTTCTCAACTGCAAAAACAAATACAAAAACCTTGATTCCATCAGACGAAGAGAGTGTTTTCTACAATAGAAGTGCTCATTTCTGACAACACGAAGAAAAAAAACCAAGTTCAAACACTGTTCGCACTTGATTACAACACGATGCATATGTCGTACTTTATCGATGGTTCAGTCAACAAGGAGCTCCCGCAGCTGTGAATCATGTGTTCCCTTCTCTGTGACAGGATAAACAATGCCTCAAAATCCAAATAACTTTTTTCAAGGATCTAATAGCACAATGAAAAGTAAACAATATCCAAGTCATTTAAAAATTCCATTGACACAGAACACAATAAACAACTTCGCACGGCTAAGCAATCAGAAAAGTTTTTTTCTCAGCAGAGAATTGTAAGTTCTGGCAGTTTGATATTGTAATAAAACCAATGTTAGATAGCATCTTGCTTATTACAATGTTCAATGTGATATATTCTTTTGCCAATAACTTTGAGCAACAATACATGTTTGCGTTCCACCAGAAAGTTTCATGAGCAGAACGTCTTGCCAGTTGAATTTCAGTTCACCCACGTTATTCCAAAAAAATTCGCACAATTAACAGAATATAAGCCCTATATAATTGGAGAGCCTTGAAAAGTAACTCTTAAGATCCAAGTATACTCCATTTTTCTCAACAACTAAAAAGAGTGGTCTTACTTTTGCAAGAGCAGAGGGAGAAACACAGATAAATAACAAAAAAGTGCCTGTGGCGTCAGAAAGTAACCTGACAAAGAAGAGCAGCAACTTAACTATGAGCTTCACCGATTCCTTGTGCACAAATTTCTGCTGGCCATAAATGCCTTTTTTAGGAAGCTCAGAGAATTGGTCTTGTACTGTTACATTTGATTTCTCAACAGTTGATTGATTATCCTTCCTTGTTAATTTCCTGTTTGACACTTCCACAGTAATCTTTTTAATAAACCTAGAATGTCTTGAAATTAAAACCACCTCAGAAAAAACAGTAATAAATTATAAGGCTTGGAAAATGTGAGAATTTTATTAGTACGATCCAATTACATGAAGGATTTCTATGCTGCAAAATAAAGGGGATAAAACAAGGAATATAAATAAAGCACAAGAAACAAGTATGAAACCAAACAAATACGGATCCATATGTTAAGATAATCAAGCCCAATCCATGGTGCAAACCATAACTGAAAACAGAGTTGAATGTCAAAACCAGAAATGAACCATCACAATACGCTAGATTCTCGTGATAACATGCTATTACATTGATAGTCCAAAATGAATGTTGACCGACAAAACATGAACATGTGCCCCAGAAAAATTCGTCTGACATCATTATACTTGGCAAGGGAATTATTTGATCACTATCAAAAGTTATTAAACGGATTCATGCATGATAAAAATTAGATGAATCTAGGAGTCATACTTCAACTTTCAAGAAATTAGCTTATCAAGTTATGGTATGGTTTATTTTTCCTACAGCTAATATTAGCACTTCGTTCTACTAAATGCTCTTTGTAAAGCATCAAGTCACTTTCAGAGCAGATACACCAGAACAGATATGAAACCAAATTGCTTGAGCAGAGACAAGGCCAGGACATAAAACGTACAAGGGCAGTTGAGAAGAGTGAATAACAAGTTTAGCAACAGTGAAGTCTTGCTGAAGGTGGGGATGCATTTTCCCCAACATATTGAGTGCATATTCATGCACACAACCAGACCAAGAACTTGTTAGCGACTGTTTGAACTTCCCAACAAAAGTCAACAGCATTGCAGGTTACTATCAGTTAGAAGCAGTATGAACAATGATTAAGCCTTTAGGCTACATGGGGATGTGAATTCAGCCCTTGAGTACTGCATGACTGAACATGAGTGGAGCTCTGTCCCCTTGGAGACATCTGATATATTGGGATGAAATTGGACTACGTTCATATATAACTGCGCTAGATGTACTCTTAGAGCTTCATACTATACAGAGGTAAAACAGGCAAAATATGATCACTGTTCATGAGCATAGCTCTTTGAATAACATAATGCAAAACCAGGTTGAGGAGCTGCACTAGAAGATATAAAATGAAAGATAACACGCAACAGACAGAACAATGTTCTGTTGTCTGGATGCTGGAGCAACTTCAATCATACACCAACATACATCTATTCTAGGATATTAGAAACTAAAATTTTGATAAGCTTTTGCTTCCAATAATGATGAGATAAGAGCAGCATTATGAAGAATGAATATTCAAAACCACCTTGCATGTCCTTGTCAAATATGCATAAGATACATTCCATGCAAATTAAAATGTATTAAGCAATGGAATAACACTTTGAATACTTGGAGATACTTTGATACATTCCTTGTACATGTTGGTAAAATAAAATTAAATACTTGTTGATTAATGCTAGAGCTAAAGAGAGCAGACCACATGCTATCAATTAGCCTATGCAAAATGGATTCTAATCACCCAATTCATTTTTTCTTAAGGAGATTAGAAACTTGAAGCAAAACTTTATCAGAATAGCGCTTATGCATTAAATAAAACCATTTCATAATTGTCAGGGGCATCCTTAAACAATTCTTTGGTGTTGCAAATGATGTATTTGTTTCATCATGACAGAGACAGCTGTCCTTTTTTCCTTTGAAAGATGAAAAACAAATCAATTTCTTTCCTGGACGAACATGCAAACACTCCAAGAGAAAATGAATGAAAGAACTAGTTCAAACTTAAATAGACAAAATTGAATCATGAAAAGCCTATTGTGCTCAATTATTCAACTAGAAAAGCACCATCTTCAACCAGCAAGCCAGTAATCAAGGTGCTGTTTTATGAAATTTAAATCTTGGTATGAGAGCTAAACTGTGAGAAACTATGTTTCGACTACACCAACCAAGTTACATTAATATTACGTGTCCATCACTAATATAAGAACTCCATCTGTGCTAGCTTAAGTCAGAATAGTCGGTCTCAGGCCAGGATAAAGGAGGAGGATTGCGATAAATTGGCAGGCAGCGCAAACCTTGTCATTTCTATGGTATGGATCATTTTGATGTAAACGTTGCCCACCTAGGTGCTACATTGGCAATGACCGTACGGAATGGCACAAAAGGATCCATATAGCTTACACAACTAGTTTGGGATCGAGACTTGTTGCTATCACTAATATCAGGCATTTTACATGGCAGTGTTGCACAAGCAATAACTAAACATGAAATCAACGACTCTTTAATTGCACATCAACAAAAAATCAACGACCAGAGGTGGTATGGCTTAATGAAGCAAAGAAGAGGTGCTTAGGAGAAATAACCGGTTGATCACACAAGTGAGCATATATTAAAAAGCCATTGGCAGAAGAAAGAAACAAAAAGTACAGGTCTGAAATTGATTGTTACCTGTAGTAGAAGAAGAGCTGGATTTTGATGCAAGAAAATCAGTATGAGGGGTAGAGATTAGAGGCGCAAACATGCAAGAATCAGAGTCCAGATAGCCCACAACTTTTTTGAGGAACCTTTTCTTGTTTTTCTTGATGGGATTGTTCTTCTTTAGCACCCCTAATAACACTCTCTTCTCCATCTCTATTCGCTCCGCTCCTAACACTGAAAACAGTAACAAAGTTAAAGTAGCATTCATCACTCTTTCAATTACACTATACCAATCAACTTTTCAAATTCTCTTATACTTCAATCCCATCAAATTCTTAAAGAGAATTCACGATGGGCATTCCACGCAAATGTTAGCAAATTGTACGAGGAGAAATCACAGCATTTACCAGAGGAAACAAACAAAAGTAGGGAAAAAAATACTGCGACAAAACATCTAGAAAACACAAAAATAAATGCATAATTGCGCAAATTAAGAGAACGCAGAGAAAGATCGACATCGAAATACCAAAAGAGATCAAATCACACCGCAAACAGAAACAACGCTTAGGATAGTCACAAAGCTGTTTGCGGTTCTTAAGATTTCGGACTCGTGGAATCAGAGGTGTCCATGGAACAACTTAGGATGGTCACAAAGCTGAACGTGTTTGAGCGACGTGTCATATGAAGCTTTCACGGGCAAATCTAATGACTGTCAGTGTCCGAACGACATTGTTCCATATAAAAAAACACAATTAAAACGGAAGGCAGATTCCCATAGCCCCACTTATATTTTCATATTAACTGCGACCGTAAAATCATCATTTTGCTGCTCTTAAAAATTGTTTTTTTAACTTTTAAGTGGTATTTTTTCAGCTATTTTTTTATTTTTTAAAAATTATTTTTAATATTAGTAGATTAAAATAATTTAAAAACATTCAAAAATTATTAATTAAAAAAATTAAAATTTTTTTAAAAATATTTTTAAGATATAAAAACAAATATGTTCTTTGTCTTTTCATCCACAAATTAATATTTGTTTAAAGATGTTATTGTTCTTTTTCCTATTTTAATGAATAGTAAAGTGATCAAAAAGCTCCCAAAACAAAAAAAATCAATAACACTCATAGGTTGGGGTATTTTTTTTTTATATATAATAAAATTACATGTATATCTTTGGCTAAATAATTTAACACATGGAATTAGGGGTAATTGGTCGGTTATCGAAAACTCCAAAATATAATTTTAACTTTACTATCATAAATAAAATAAATTTATAATATAATCATGAAAATCAGGTCGAACCCAAGAAAAATTTCATTTAATCTTCCTATAATATACTTAAAAAAAAAACAGGGGAGTTGAATAAAAAAGTAAAGAAATAAAATTATAAAAATAAAAATAATAAATTGATATGTTGTAACTTAGTTCAAGGGTCCACACATCCATTTTTATAAATATATTGATCATCAAAATAAAATAAATATCCTTTAATGTCAAGCAAATAAATTTGATATTCTTTAAAGCTGAGAGAAATCAATGAGATTATGTGTAAATTAATTAAACAAAGCTCTTTAATCAATTTCTTACTATCAAGTGAATTTAATATTGAAAACAATTTTCATTCACTCGGCAATAGCCTTAAGTCTATGAAATTATTATATGCAAATATTCAAAAGCTTGATAATTTAACTTAGTTTATTCTTCCGTAATAAATTAAAATAAAATTAATATATCAAAATAATTTAAAAACATCCAAATAATATTAATTAAAAAAATTTAAATTTTTTTAAAAACACTTTGAGATGCAAAAACAAATATGATTTTTGTCTTTTTATCCATGAATTAGTATTTGTTTAGAGATGTTATTATTTTTTTTTATTTTAATGAATAGTAAAGTGACCAAAAAGATCCCAAAACAAAAAAAAACACTAACACTGACAGGTTGGGGTATTTTTATTATATATATATATATATATAATAAAATTACATGTATGTCTTTAGCTAAACAATTTAACACATGGAATTAGAGGTAATTGATCGGTTATCAGAACCTCCAAAATATAATTTTAACTTTACTATTACAAATAAAATAAATTTATAATATGATCATGAAAACCAGGTTGAACCCAAGAAAAATTTCATTTAATCTTCCTATAATATACTAAAAAAAAAAAAAACAGGGGAGTTGAATAAAAAAGTAAAGAAATAAAATTATGAAAATAAAAATAACAAATTGATATGTTATAATTTAGTTCAAGGGTCCACGTATCCATTTTTATAAATATGTTGATCATCAAAGTAAAATAAATATCCTTTCACATCAAGCAAATAAATTTAATATTCTTTAAAGCTGAGAGAAATCAATGAGATTATGAGTAAATTAATTAGACAAAGCTCTTTAACCAATTTCTTACTATCAAGTGAATTTAATATTGAAAACAATTCTCATTCACTCGGCAATAGCCTTAAGTCTGTGAAATTATTATATGCAAATGTTCAAAAGCTTGATAATTTAACTTAGTTTATTCTTCCTTAATAAATCAAAATAAGAGTTGTAGTAATCAAATCAATTCTTTTGCTTCTTACTTTAGTTTTTAATAACAATTATATATTAAAAAAAAAACTAGAAAGCATGCATGCCATTAAAAAAAAAATCAATAAACTTTAATAAAAATCAATAGCATAATTCTGAATCCAAAAGTAACAAGGCTACGGATTCATCTTCCAAAAGCAATAAAGCTGCTAATTTAAGTCACTATCATATCATTGAAGATTCTTTAACCCTGTTATTGAAAATAATATCCATTAGCGAATTGTATGCGCTAAGTTGATTCTCAAGTTGATGTCAACATTGAATGGAAATGAGACACAGGAACTCATTTCAAAGCTGAAACTACAAGTAACTCTACCATTAAAGTCAAATGGGGTGCATGGACTTTTCTTGGCACTCAAGATGAATACTCTGATAATTCACCCATGGAGACTTCTCCACATCAATCACAAAGTAAGGCTTCAAGTGTAGGCAATATATTAGTGATGATGACTGGGATTACATCTTTAGAGGATCAAGTGGATAACCTAACTAACTTGTCAAGGGGCTTTTGACTTCACTTAAGGAAAAGGACCACAATATAACAAAGCTAATAAATAAACTTGAAAGCATGAACTAGGGAGGAAAGACTTCGGCTACCAAGGTTGTGTAAGTAGATCAACTAAATGTCATTAAGGATTCTACAATCAGAGCTACAATGAATATTTGCAGTATTATCGATGGCGTGTTCATCATGAATCAACTTAAAGAATTTCTAATGAAAGCCATTATGAACCAAATAGAAAGTTTAGTCCACCTTCATATTCTTATGTAAAGTTGTAAACCTACAAGACTGACATGTTAAGGATGACTCTGAGTCATCAACTACTAAATTTTTAACAATTGAATGGTAAAGGGAATACAAGGCTTCATATGGCTCATTTTGTAGAGGTTTGCAACAATGCTTAAACTAATGATTATCTCATGGTAAAAGAGTTTATCTATTTCTTGAAAGGTTATCCTTTAACTGGTACATTAACTTGAAGTCTAGGTCAATTGATAGTTAGGAGCAATTAGAACGCAAGTTTCTTAACCACTTTTATAACACTCATCATGTGGTCAACGTGGTTGAACTCACTAATGCATGTCAATGGATAAAAGAGCTTATCATTAAATACATTCATTAAAGGAAAAACCTTTGCCTTAACTATAGGGATTGACTTACCAAAACTTTTATGCTAGATATGTGTATTCAAGGGATATATTGGGGACTCCATTACATTTTAAAAGGCATCAAGTCGAAGTCTTTTGAAGAATTGGCTACTCGAGCATAACACAAGGAACTTAGCGTTGCTGCAGCTAAAAACTTATCATTACCTATGCAAGAGCCTAGAAAAAATAAGTATAAACATCATGGATTAAAAAAAAACACTATAAAGGTTGAGATAAAGCAATCTTTAGTAAGTAACTCTGCTTTCATAAAGGTATAAACTAGAATTAAAAGGAATGATTATGTAACATTGATTGCTTTTCAAAAGGGTGAAAAAAAAAGTAATCCCTAAAATAGCAACATGGAAAAGAGTATTTGTTTCCTGACTCAAACATATCTAAAATGCTAAATGATTTGCTTGAAACAAATCTCATTGAGATATCAAAGTTAAAACATTCTAAAGAAGCAACCAAATGAACAATCCAAATTATTGCAAATATTACCAACTTTTTACCTACAAGCTTCACCACAACCTTAAGTTAAGCTTCACATATAACCTTTGTATCGCAAGTTAGCAACTTGAAGCCAGATTTATGTAAGAATTGTGATATTGAAAGATGAAATTTAGTCATTCATAGAAGAGGAAGGAAGATAGACACACATATCATAAGCCATCTAGAATAAAAATCTTGATCGTAAAGAAGACAATTAATAAGCTGATGTGTTAAAAGATATGATGAAGGTCCATACTAGATAAAGAGGAGGATCTTATAACTCAAAGCTTAAGAAAACACATTACACTAAATGAGTATATGCCAAGAGAGCTGAAAAGGATGGAAAATATATTTGTTATTTGCTATCAAGTTGATGAAGAGAAAACTCTACTGAAGAGATTATGAAAGAAAGTTATCATAAATGTCCAAACTTGTCGCATGATGTATGCACCATAAAGATATTGACACGACTAAAAGATTGATGTCTTCTCCCAAGTGCAGGAGTGTCGAAGTAATAAATAACCCGGCAATACCGGGGTCGAACCACAGGGAGGTTAATTGTACAAATTATAAACAACAATTATAAACAACAACAATAGTAACAATACTATGAAAGTGCCAAGCATTTGTTGTACCAAGTGTTATACAACATAAATCAAGATTAGTCATTTAACAAGCAAAGTATTAAAGAGTGAACAAGATAGCAAATATAAAACATGTTAGTATCAAACATTAAAGTCCATATTAAGTTTACATTATACTTATTCTTACACCATTAGTGTAACCTTTTCACCTTGACATAATTAACTTAGCTAGACATAATGAAAGAAAGCAAAATAGATAAACAAAATAAGAACATAAAAGTTAACTAAGTAAAGGAAAGGAAATGAAAGGCATAAACTTAATATTAATGAAAACAAAGCATAAAAAATACAAAGAGAGAAAGGAAGAGCATGATCTTGATCTGAACACCAAGATGCCTAAATGCATGGCAAATGCCTCCTTTTATAGGCCAAAAATGGGAACTATTGATTTGATGACTAATTGATAAGTGGGTGACCAACTTTTGACTTGGTGACAATCCTTATCTTCTCTTGTCTGCCCAAAACGTCATTGATAACGTCAAAATTGGAGCCAGTTGCAAACATGAAAGTTGTAGGCAATTGTCTCAGCTTTCTTGTGTAAAAAATTCAGCTCATTTGGACTTCTAGAACTCCAGATATGGCCAAAATACCGAACAGTGCTCGGGCTGGAAGACAGATTCGGGCTTCTTTGTTGTTGCTACAATTTGGACTTGATAATGGCCTTTTTAGATCTTGGGCTCCATATGAAAGTTGTAGGCCTATGTCTTACCTTTCCATCCATATAAATTGGACCTAAAT